AAAAAAACAAAAAAAAAGACTTTGATCATGAATAAACTAGACCGATTTCATAAAGTAACTCTGTATATCTTACTGACATAGCTATCTAACAAACAACTTTTAAAGCAATTGTTTTATCTAACCTAATCATTTTTTTTCCTTATGGCATTCTTATCCTCATGGGTTCTCATAGAATCCCTCAACTACTATGCAGTTTAGGATAACAGTCATGGTTACCTTCAGGTCTTCTTTATCTTCTCAATGATCAGTAGACTCTGTCTTTCTGTGTGTGTGTGTGTGTGTGTGTGTGTGCACGCATGTGTTGTGTATCTGGCAATCAAGCCTAAGGCCTTGTTCTTGACAGGCAGGTGCTCTAGCACTTAGCTCTATGTTCCAGCTAATTAACACCCCTCCACTCTGCTTGAGTAGGTATAAATGTCATCTGAACAATGCCTTTACTTGCTCAATAATGTTAAGTTAAAATTCACATGAGAATTTACTTTCCACTAATTTCAATTTAAGTATCCACATAGCATTTCTTAAAGTAAAGAAGTAGTTCTTGAGGATAAGGAATGGTTTATGGTTTTATAAACATTTTAAGTACCAGTGGACATACTGCCATCTATATTTTTTCTAGAAAGTAAAATTTACTAAGGAGTTTATTACTATACATTCTTTATTAGATATAGCATTTTATAGATAAGAGGAAGATTTAAGAAAACAAATAAATCCTTATCATAGAAAAATAACACTGACTACTGAACCATTTTCTACTACAGAATCTATTTCTCTTTGTAAAATCCAGAATGAAGAAAATGATTGGTATTTTTAATAACTTAGTTATTAAAATGACATAAAGTTCATTAGTCGTTAGAAAATAAATAATTATTTTTGTATTCTTAATTCACATTGCTAAATAAAGAAAGTATCTGTAATTTTGGATCCTATGTGACTCTTAGTGCTAAAAATTATATTCAACTCTGACTTACACAGTGGAAAAAATAACTTCCCCATGGTGAAATTAACTTAAATATGATGAACAATATTTTATAAACCTGTACTTTTAAAAAAAGATCTTGTCTTTAGAAATTACCAGATAAAGTTTCCTATATATGGCTAAAGATGCATATACTAATATTTGAAAATCGTCTCTAGGCAAGTTTTCATAAATATCTTTCTCTATACATTTATATTTGATTAGCTCAGATAATTATTTAAACATATATTAGTGATTCTGTGGCTCTCCAAGAATTTTGGTGTACATCACCTACTTAATGATAACCATTTACTTTTAAGTGTCTAGAACAAAAGGTTGTTTTAACCAGCAGAAATGTAGTTTGTTATCATCCTGATGATCTCTAGAATCTGGACACTAAGGTTATGTATTTCCCATTTCCCACTACCACCTCCCTCCTACTTTACCTTATCAAGTTGGGAAACTACTTCCCACAGTAAGGAATGCAAAACTGACAGCTCTCTGCCCAGATCAATGTAACCATCAAAGCCTGGGGTGTTTGAGATGGTGTCTGGATTAGAGATCTCCAAAAGGAACCGCTTCATTCCACCCCATTCATGTTCTAAAAAATCATTCATGAATGCCATGTATTCCTCTTTGTTACCAAACCTGAGTTAGGTGAGAAAATAAGAAAGAACATAGATCAAGAAAAGATATGTTAACATTTTGACTTACAAAGAGGTATCATTTCTTTTAATTTTGTGATGACAAGGATTTTGTTTAAGTTGTAACTGCTAAAATATTCTTTCTTAATATTACTTTAACTCATGTTGAAAAACTCAAAAGTAGAGACAAATAATCCTCTTTTGGTCTTCAAAATCCTCATATATTATAGCCCTTAGTTATCTACTAAATGCCCATCAAGACAACCATCAATTTTACTATTATTTTTCAGTTTCCAAATATATTCCATAGTAGTCTCTTTCTTACCCATGGTTCATACTGAAAGACCTCCGATGGATGCCTGAAACTGCAGATATCATGGAACTATCTATATTTTGCCCTTTAATGCACCCTTTAAAACAAAAACAAACAACCTTATATGGGCAAATCTTTCTGTGTTGGCTTAGCTATAAGGTCCATAAAATTCAAACAGTGAACTTCAAAAAATTCTATTAAAGGGTTGGAGAGATGGTTCAGCAATTAAGAGATTAAGAGCACTAGCTGAGGACCTGAGTTCTATTTCCAGCACCTACACGGTTGTTCACAACTGTCTTTAACTCCAGTCTAGAAAATTCGGTGCCCTCTTCTGGCCTCTGCAGGCACCACACATGTGTGTGGTACACAGGCGCACACACCAGTGGAACACCCATACATATGAAAATAAATAAAATTTACAAAATAATATATGAGAAGACAATCCGCTTCACTGACAACTTTTTCTTCCATACACTGTTGGGAAAAACTTGTCTGTCTCAATATAAATATACCTGTGATCAACTTTGTAAAGTGAATTTTTTTCCTGGTCCATCTATCCTTCTTTCCTTTCCTTTTTTTTTTTTTTTTTTTTTTGAGGCAGTATCACTGGCTGGCTGGCCTAAACTTGCTATGTAGACTAGACTGGCCTTGAACTCACAGAGATCCACCTGCTTCTACTTCCTGCGTGCAGGGATTGAAGGTGTGAGCTATTGTTCTTGGCTTCCTAACTTCCTTTTGAAAATAAATTTAAGCTTACAGAAAAGTTGAAAGAATATATAATGAACACCCATATGCTTTTCATCTATATTAACCAACTGGTAACCTTTTTTTTGCTTGCCAGGTTTGCTTTCATCTCTACAGATACATATACTTTTCTTTATCTAGAGCCATTTTAAACTAAATTACAGATACTTCAGTGTCTTTTTTTTTCAGAATAAGGAGTATCTCTTATAGAAAGCAATGCTATTTTCACATTAAAAATTTTAAAACATTATTCATTAATCATCTCATTATACAGTTCTTAATTAAATTCTACTGTTTTTGCCAAATAATAAAAAATTATTTTGAATTATATATGTATGTATGTACATGTGAGTGTGGGTACCCCTTGAAGCCAGAGGTGTTGGATTTCCTTGGAACTAGGTTTACAGGCAGTTGTGAGTGTTAAGAACCAACTCAGGTCTTCTGCAATAGTCGTAAGGGATCTTAACTGCTGAGCTATCTTTCTAGTCCCCAAACAACTAAAACAACCTTTATATTTGTTTATTTTTTGCGTGTGGTGGTGGTGCTTGCATACCATGGTGCACATGTGGAGGTCAAAAGCCAACTTGTGTGAGAGCTGCTTCTTTCCTTCCACCATGTGGCTTTGGAGTGTTAAACTCAAGCCATAGGGTTGACAGACAGTGTTCTTACCTGATTAATCATCCTGGTGGACCCCCAAATAATTTTTACAGATTGTTTTTCTAACTTAAGATAACAATAAATTTCAAGTACTGCATTTGGTCTCTTGTGATTGTCTATAGTACCCTTCCATCTTCTGCATTTTTCTTAATACCACCTGTTAGAAAGTGGCCATCCTATTTACAATAGATGATGTAACCACAGTATTTGCCTATTTTTACAACACTTCTTTGCTTGATGGATGCTTGGGATTGAACCCAGGGCCTTGTGCATATTGCCAAGCCTTTTCTCAACACTCTCATACCTGTATTCTTTTTTCATATTACTAAAATAATAGCAAATAATAGCATATGTATCACTTGTCATTCTATCTTTAATTAATATTTTAATTTAGCTATCACCATCTTCATATTATTGAATATCTTTTATAAACATTATTTTCAGCTGTTATAAATATTTCATTAAATGTTTGTACCAGATTTTATTTAATATTTGTTTCCATTTTAAAATTTTTCTTGACAATGCAATAGAATCTAGTAGGAGTAGGAATGCGGCTCCCAGCCTTATTCAAAAGCTCATGCATTTTTAAAAAGTCAGGTGTTTTAAAAAGGGTTAGGGTAGTTTCACCTACTTGGCAAAGTTGGCCAGGTTCTGGATGACCTTGGCAATAAGAGTTAGAGTCCGCGATGTGCGGTCATCAGGATACTCCTGCATCAGGCTGAAGAGACTGGGAGACATAATGGCTGGGCAAAGGAAGCGGAGAAACAGGGAGGCACTAATGAGCCGCTCACTGATGTCTTGCTTGCCTCGGGTCAGGCACTGCTGCTTCCATGATGCAAACACTTCTTTCAGCTCACGAGGGAAGACACTACAGAAGGGAAAACATACACACAAAGAAACCCCATAGCCTCTAAATAGAAAGTGTCATAACTGAGAAAGTGGCCTACTCTGACCCAGTGTGCTTCTGTTCCAGAGCTGAGCTAGGAGGAGGCCTTATTAGACACCCAGGGATGGGGGTCAGCCTGATTCATGGCCGACAGGAGGTGGAAAAGTCACAGAAGGCTAGGTGGAGATTAGAAACTTAAAGTTACAAAGTTTTGGATTAGTACAAATTTAGTTTAGCTAAGTGGGAAAACAGCATGAGGCTCCTTCTCACTAAACTATCTGGTTTAACACAGCTTACCATAATACCCCTAAAGGCTGTTCATGAAAAATCTTCCCAAACTCACCATTTGTTTGTGGTAGAGAAAAGATCAAAATTTATGAACATATCTGTTCCACTCTAGCAAATATTTTAAAAAGTAAAAAACAAAACAAGACAACCCCACCTGACAAATCCAACCTCTACTAGTAGGTATTAGAAAGTACAGCTCTAATAGCTGGAAAGGGTTATTTAAAGAGGCAGTTCAGAAGTCCTTCTTACAATGGACTAAGGGAGGGGAATCTTGTCATTTCCTTCAAGTCTTTCCTTTGTGGTGATGCTCATAGGGAAAAAGTAGGTTCCTTGGCAAGGACACAAGCTCACCAGTATGAGTTGATGATCTTGCAGAAAGCCAACTCACAGCACATTTTCAGGTTGCTCTGGTGGTCTATCAGTTCACTAGAAGAACACTTGCTGGGATCCACTTCACAGTTCTCATCTGATTCATACAAGGCTTTGATGAACTCCCCTAATCCAAGGGAAAAGGTGACAAGTGCTATAATGAAACTCTGCTTTCCTAAACAGAATAAGAAACAATTGAGCATTCTTTAGAGTGTTCTTTCCTCAGACCTAGTGAGGAACCATGAAGCATCACTGCTTTAGGACCCAATAGTTACTTCCTCCCATGCACTAAAATTATTCTCTTTATCCTGGAAGCAAAATAGAACCAATCACCAACATCGTCAATATTCATAAAAATAGCAATGATTTGAGTTAAAAATACAGTATCTTTTATTGGAAACCCCAAATATATTTAATTATCATGAACTTGTTAAAGAGTTCTCCCACTAATGTAAGTAATCTCATTATCCAGAAAAACAACAACAAAAAACAAAACAAAACCAAAACCAAACAGCCCGGGCTTGACTGAACATGTAACCCAACCAAGGTTTTAGGAGTAATGTTGGTGTCAAACACAGATACAAACAAGGCTCTTCAGGTCTACCGTTAGCACTGGCTACAGTAATTTAACCTTCCACACAAAACTGCAGCATTTCTCTTCATCTATACTTTACATGCTTTTCCACAGACACTGGCCAGATAGCCTATCTATAAAGATCTGTCTACTACTCTCTGGAATCACCGTATCTGTTTACCTCTGCAAGGCACACTACTTCAATGTCTTCTGACAGTCCATGGTTTATACTCTGGTGCATATTTGTTCACATGCACTTCTCACTTATAAGATAAACCTTTGGAAGTTAGGAACCAGGTTTTAATCATGTTCAAATTCATACCCCCTTAAATAACTCTCAAAAAGCAGGATAGGAGCTTACTAAATTTTTATAAGAGATGGAAGTACATAGTCTTGTTTTCTTACAGGTCTCTCTTCATTAAAGAGGAGTGGACCTTTTAAAAGATCCTTCTCAATCTGTGGATGTGACTTGAGGTTCAGGTTAGTCATAAGAGGGCTTTGAAGAACAGTAATTTCTACAAGAAAAAAATACCAGGAGCAAAATGAAACATATTTTCTGTCAAAATGATTACTACCGAGGTAAAGGAAAGCTTTTAAAAATAGCTATTACAGAGTATGGGAAACATATTTAGAAAAAACTTTCTTAGGGAACAGGAAGCAAAGTGGTATACACACACGGGGTGGGGGAGGGGATAAACATGCATTACAGTATTAAAAGAGGGCTATGATCAAGCCCTGGATCCCTCACCTAACTAAGGGGCCTTGAAACATCACTTAATTAACCTGAGCTTTGGTTGCTTTATTAGTATGAGACCTATGTTGCAGAACTGTGGTATTAAGAAAAAACAAAAAACAAAACAAAACAAAAAAAAAACCCAAACCCAAACCCAAACCAACCAACCAAACCCAAATGTAGTATCTTCTTGGCACTTAGTTGGGCTCCATATAGAAAGCACTATTATGTACAAAATATGCTACTTTAAAATAGTTTTTAGTCAAGGAAAATCACCAAACTGTTAAGTTTAAAAACTGTTAATCCCCACAAGACAGTGTTCACTCCATGTTTCCACATAATCTATTTCATTTAAAGGATACATAACTATAACATTTAAAACTATCAGCATCAAATATTTTAGTAATAATTGGCCAAACTGTAAATCTGTAACATTCTGTTAAGGGTGTTCATTTGGGTCACAGCTATTCTAAGAAAGTAAAATAATATAAACATTAACTATTTTTCTTTCATTCTTCAAGTAAACGGCCCAAGAAATTACTCAGGAGCCAGACAAAAATTGTATGTGGTACCAGCACTATGAGATACCACAAAAAAATTTGTTAAAATTTTCTATTAAAATTTGTTTTCATTTTTGGAATTATAACCCATGTCTGATAATGTGTAGTATGCTAAAATGAGGATGAAGCTTTTATAGGTTTGTACCTAAAAAGGTACTTACTTGAAAATTATTTGCTCCTTTGCCTTTGAAAAGAAAAAGAGCTAAAAGGGCAATCACTGAGTTTAAATAGTGTGTACTCATAATGTTTTATCCTGGTTTCTTCTTTGAATTGTAAAAACTATTTTATTTGTGTCTGCATGAATAGAAACACGTAAGTGAGCAGATGAGTATGCCTTTGCATATGGAGACCAGAAGAGTGTTAGATCCCTGGAGCTGGAGTTGCAGGTGTTTGCAGACACTCAGCTTGTTATGTAGGCACTGTTATCCAAACTCAGGTCTTCATGATTATGCAGCAAACAAGCTCTCTTAACCGCTTAGCCATCCTCCACCCCCTTCTTTGAAAACATTTTTTAAATTAAAAAAATTTTTAGATTTATTTTATGTGTATGTGTACCACCCAAGCACCCGGTGTCAGTGGAGATTAGAAGGTGGCATCAAATTCATTGCAACTGGTTGTGAGTTACTATGCAGGTGCTGGGAACCCAACCTGGGCTCTCTGCAAGAGCAGTTAAGTGCTCTTACCCACCTAGCCATCTCTCCAACTCCCCAAGCCCCACCTTTTAGGAAAGGTCTCATGTACACCAGACTGACAGCAAACTCATTCAATAGTCCCGCCTTTACCTTGGAACTGATGGAATGCAAGCATGTACCAACATGTTCGTTCTACTATGTGTTGTCTGTGCTAATCTAATCACTGAATCGTTACTATCATCAACATTTCACGTGTAGGTTTAAGTTAACAGATGTTGACATATTACATCTGAAAGGCATTTGCCTCCAACACCAGCCTGGAAATTATGCCTTCCGAGTGACTTATGTTTCACAGATGGTATTTCTTCCTTTTCACAAGACAACAACAAAAAATTGACTTTAATCAGACAGGTAAAGGGAGCTAACAGATGAAAGACTTAAGTCTAAATAAAGCAGATTTGTTTTCAGCAGAGAGTAATGCTTTCATTAAGACCAAGACAGGCTAAGAAGCTGGCTGACACTGTACATTATGACTGGCAACTTTCTTTGAGGATGGGTGGGTATTAAACTCATGGCCTTATGTATGTCAAGAAAGTGCTCTACCAACAAACAACATAAACAGCACTTGTTTTTTTCCTTTTGCCTAAAGTTTATTTCATACAACAAAACTTCAATGGGAAGAAGACAGTCTAATCTCAGTACAGAGAATCTTATGAGTTGTTTTTATGCTCTTGGAAGCTGCAGCCATTTTCTTTACCCCAGCCTATGCTCTTAGGTTACAGAAATGTTAACAGAGATCTTTGGGAGGTTATCTGAATTGTTTCCCATGCTCAATGAATTAATTTTCATGCCTTACTGAGCTCATCAGATATTTAATTATTCACTATTGTATCAAATGACTTGGTATCCATTTGTCATTTTGGAGGTTTAATTCAGAAATCCCTTTAAGCAAATACATCTTTAGAATATGAATCTTCTCACCTTCATGTTCACAGAATGGAGAAAACTGTTAGAGATGCTTCACTGTTGCCTTTTAGAGGACAACATAAATGATTAAAGCAAACCATGACATAATTTATAACTATAGTAAATGCCTAGGTAAATGAGATTAATAGTATCTTTCCTAATGTCAATGAAAATCAACTGTTTTCTCATAATTCTTATTAGATTTTACACTAAAGCAATTGAGTAGATTTGAGGATAAACAGAAGTGAAAAAAAAAAAAAAACTTTTGTTCAGAGTAGAAACTAACCGTGACTACAGCACGTCTACTTCATGTAAACACAGCCCTATTTCTCAACCATTCAGTTACTACTTTTTAACATCTTAAAATTCCTTTCCTCTTTAAAAAAAAAATTCTCATTTTTTTTTTCTTCAAGACAGGGTATCTCCATGTAGCCCTGGCTGTCCTGGAATTTGCTTTGTAGACCAGGTTGTCCTCGAACTCACAGAGATCTGCCTGCCTCTGCCTCTAGAGTGCTGGGATTAAAGGTGTGCACCACCACTGCCCAGCTCCTTTCCTCTTGATACACCAGTCTGTAGCATCACAAGTAATATTTAAACTGTGAAATAATTCGACAACTATTTTTCTTACCATCTGATTTTTTTTTTTTGGTCAAAGGTAGTATTGGGTCAGCAGGATGGTTCAGTGGGCAAAGGGGCTTTCTCCAGTGCCTGATGACTTGAATTGGATTCCTGGCCCCCACATGGTGGAAGGAGAGAACCAACTACAAGTTGTATTTGTTTTCTGTCTCTCTGTCTCTGTCTCTCTCTGTCTCTCTCTCTCACACACACACACATACACACATGCGTAAATAAACAAGACATCTAAGAATAAAAAATGGTAGCCTTGGGCATCATGAATGCTTAAAACTGTCTGCTACCACTAAGCTGTAGCTTTGGCTTCTGACCCTCCCTGCCCTGCAACATCTGACCAATTTGTTACTTTTAAAGACTCTATTTTTGACTGGATTCAGAAGTAGATGTTCTCAGCAAGGATAGCCTACATCTCTTGGCAATCTGTTTCTGTAGCTTTTCTTTGGCTTCTTTCATTATCTGGGCCAAAAGTTTAGCATATTTGCAGCCTCCTCCTCATTTCCCTTAGCATGATGTTTCTTCAGAACACTTGCAGGATTTGTGGCATAACAAGATGCTGAATCTTGGGGTCTTATCGCCTTCTTTGTTTAAGAACTTTCTTGACAACATATTGGTGGACATTATCTTTACGGAGCTGAAAGGTTTGTTTCAACTAATTTAGCTAGTTTTCTTTTGGGCTCCAATTGCTGAGGCACGTTAGTGTCTATCAGTCCAGAAATATCCTTTTCTCCTTTTTTTTTTTTTTAAACAAAAAACAAAAACCAATAACCAAGTTGAGAACACTCAGTTTGGCAATCACAATGCATCCAAAAACAGACTTGCTCTTCCTCTCTCTGGTTATCCTTGGTCTATCACAAGAATGCCCCTACTCACCAGATGTGGGTCAAGTTACTCTGCTTCATGGGAAAACCTTGTTCATCATTCCCTCCATTGATTCAGATCATATAAACCTTCCACTCTTCACCCAGAACATCAGCAGGAACATCTGTTCTATGCACTTCTCACAGAAAGTATAAAGCTTGCATTCATCATCCACTCAATGAGTTTTCAGAGAACATATTCAAGCTCATCCTGATGCAGCCGACTACCTAGGAGGTACTATGAAAAAGATCACTTCTCTGATTCTTTCACTGTCTTTTTTTTTTTTTTTTTTCCTTATCTCCCTTTTATTCTCAGCAAAGATGCACCATAAAATGTATTTTTGGCTCTATTCTCGTTTTGGTAATTTCTTAGCTTCATTTAACTCCTCTACATGAGTTAGTCCCAGAGTTCTCACACCTGTCTAGACATATGTTCTAATTTGCTTTCCCACCTCAACTCCTCCTAAATTCCTATCAGAACTTCAAGTGAATACATATAAGGTAACATATAATTTCCCCCACTTCAAGCCTACTACTTCCATGATTTCTGTTATGTTTCTTCTAAGAATGTTATCAAGGGGCTGGAGAGATGGCTCAACAGTTAAGAGCCCGTACTGCTCTTGCAGAAGACCTGAGTTTGGTTCCCAGCATTCACATCTGGCAGGCAATAACTGCCTGTTAACTTAAGCTCCATGGGTACCCGCATTCATATGCACATACCCACAGACAGACAGACATGATTATAAATAAAGTAAATCCTAAAAAAAGAATCAGTCACTTAGAAAGTCTACAAATTCTCTACAATATTTAATCTTCCTTTCCTACAAACTGAACAAGTTGCCAAGTCAGCTCAACTTCAATGTTTTTTTTATCCTTTTTCACTAGTCTACTCCCAAAGATTGTCTAGTAAGTCATAATATTTCTTTCTCTCCTGCTACAATGGCTTTTTTTGTTTTCAAAATTTATTCATTAAATATTTTTATATGCATGAGTGTATTTTTCTGTATTTATGTCTATGTACCACAAGCATGCAGTGCATAAAGAAGCCAGGGGAGAGCATCAGATCTCCTGAAACTAGAGTTACAGCAAGTTTGTAGGTGGTGGGGACTGAATGCATGTGGGTGCTGGGGACTGAACCCAGGTCCTCTCCAAGGGCATCAATTGTTTTTAACCAATAAGCCATCAGCTCCTAAATGGCTTCTTCTTCGTACTTTTTCTTTAAAAAATTTATTCTCATCATTCTCTTAATTCTATTAAAATTATCCTGAGAAATTTTGGTAGCTTTTAAATGATTAGTGTAAAATCTAAATCCTCAGTCAGGACCTTAAATTTTGGTTCCAATTATTGCCAATCTTTGCTGTTATTCAACGTGCCTCTTTGATGTTTTTTTTTTTTTCTTTTATTTTTGAAACAGGGTTTCCTTGGCTGTCCTAGAAATCACTCTGTAGACCAAGCTGGCCTCGGACTCACAGAGATCCACCTGCTTCTGCCTCTGAGTACTGGGATTAAAGGTGTGTGCCACCACCGCGTGACTCTTTCATGTCCTTTTACTATTATTATTTCATATATTTTGTGTGTGTGTGTGTATGTGTGTGTGTGTGTGTATGATCATGCTTATGGTACATGTGTGGAGGTCAGAGAACAACTTGTAGGAGTTGGTTCACTGCTTCCACCATGTGGGTTCTGGGGACTGAATTTGGGTCACCAGGGTTGGTGGCAAGTGCCTTTACCCATGGTCCACTTTCATGTCCTTTTTCTCCTGAGAGGTGTACTGCATACTCACCTGATTTTTTCCCTTCACTTCTGTGCCTTTTAATTCATGTCTCATTCTTTTTTCTTTCATGCTAATCCCTAATTACCCTTACAAATGTTTGTTTTATCCCTTCAACCTTTACTGTACTCATACAATATAAGTATATTCACACAAGAAATTTAAAAATTCTGTTGAGCTGGAATCATTAAAAAAATTCTCTGCAAAAACACAGGATTTCTCTTTTGGTTAAACAGACAACCCTATCTTATTTCCTTACATTATAAACTCCTTGTGAACAAAAACCTCTATAGTCATTCAGCATACCTTATTACTGCATACTCTTGATTACACGTGACTGGTAAGCACTAGAAGTACAACTAGAACAAATTGAAATGTGGGATAAATATAAAATATATACTGAATTTCAGAGTATGGAAAATGAATACCCCATTAATTATTCCCATAGTGATCAGTTGTTAATATTTGAATACACTGGGTTAAATAAAGTTTGCTATTAATTTCAATGGTTTCTCTTATTCTTTTTACACTGTGACTACTTAAAGTTGAAGTTACTCATTAAACATACTGTCACATATATGTGACTAGCATTGTGTTGGTACAGTACAGTGCTGTATTACACTCTGTGGATGAAGGAGGATGAAGATACAGGAAATTGCTGGGCATGTGACTCATGTCTATAATCCTAGCACTGGGAGGCAGAGGCAGGAGGACTGCTATGAAAACAAGGCCAGCTTAGGCTAGTACAGACAGACAGTCCACCCCTAAACCACCATTTTCTTCAAGGAATTCACATGCACTTAATTATCCTATCACTTTATTATACTGTGTGTCTAACACATTGCCTTACTCTAGCAGCTAAAGGCTTAATTTCATAACCAAATTTGGATCTTTAAGTGAATGGCTTAGTCATCAACAACTAATGATTGGGTTAAAAATTTGTTACTAGTTAGAGACCTTAAACGGAAGTGTAGAACTGTAGGAACTATCAAGTATTTCTTCATTTTTGATGACAGTTTTGTATGCGTGGTAATAAATGGTAGGACAGCCTTTTAGACTGAGGTAATACAGCCATATTATGGTATAAATACCCAATACTTTATGGGAAATAGGACACCTAAGTTCTAGAAGTGAAATCCATCAATATTTTTATACACTCTGGGATCAGAAATGCAGAGATTTGGGGTGGCTATATATATTGATGAGTTTTCTATTTCCATACACATTATAATACATAAGTGTGGTTACTCTACTGGTAAGTACTGCAGAGACAGTACAGTTGAAATCTAAATCACTCAAGTCATATGAATGAAATGCATGCAGAATTTGAATTTAACTTCTTTGTCCTAGGAGGTACTTTACTTTACCTCCTAGGACAAAGAAGTTAAACTGAAAGAGAAAGAAGATACACATCTTCCTTTTCCATACCCAGTGCATCATGGAGGTACTGTTGTCCTACCAACTTGAGGTATTCCTCAATGGATTTAGTGGCAATGGTGTTTTCTCTGAAGATCAAGACATCATGCTCTCCACAACGATCCACCTCAGACATCACCAAGTCAGTCAGAAAATCCTGGCAGAAGAATGTTTGTCAGAAAGAAAGGACCTGAGTAAGAACTATACATTAGAAGAGACTACCAAAATAGCAGATATTTTCGGAACATTGCTTTAAATTAAGCCACCAAATTCCTTGGAAAGGGAAAAGGAAGACAGGATAAAAATCTTACATATTGCCAGCTCTAAATTTAATTTCTGAATTCCTTCAGATATTTTCTAATGCACTGCTGAAAAAGATAATTCTGAATGCATCTGCAAATCTCTCTTTTTCCAACCTTACTCAGTACTGTTCTCTCTGCTCTAGTTCCCACACGATGCTCTCTTTTCTTTTTTACACCCTTTAGTCCACACAGCCCATCCACGACAATCTTCTGCAAATGCTGTTCTCAGTTCTGTTCCCTAACCTCCACTCCTATTATCGTAAGACTAATTTCTGGGAACCTTTAGATCTCAGTTTACATACTACTTCCTCCGTGAAGCCCTCTTGGATCAAGACTGCCCTCGAGCCTCACTTGCCAGTCCCCCTTGCACCACACCTCCACAGTATTATTTATCTTTGCACCCTCTGCACTTCTTTCTCACTGTAACCACAGATTTACTTTTGTAACTGTTAGTATAGTTTCTCCGGAAAACCGAAAGCCCCTAAAGACAGTGTTGTATTGTTCAACATATCCAGGGAAGACACACTTTCAGCATTGAACAGTGTCTGGCACACTTTAGATGTTATTTTATGGAATAACCCAGTGTTCATTTCCATTCAGATGAAAGGTTGCCATGAAACAGGTGCCAACTAACTGTACATCACCCCTCGTGTTTCCACTTCAGATTCAGGTTTTATTCCACGAAGACTTACAGTCAGCACATTTCTTGATTATCTCCTTCTGTACCACTGGGATACAGTTAGCAGTTAATCTTAAAATACAACATTTAATACTCCAGAAAAACTTCAGCTAGGCATGATGTTGCACACCTGTATCATACCTTTAAGTCTGGGACTTGGGAGGCTGAGGCAGGAGGATCTCACGTTTGAGGCTAGAATGGCCAATATGGTGAGACCATGTTTCAAAAAGAAAACAGTAACAACAGAATTTGAACATGCTGTGGGGTTATCCTAGCAACTGCAACCATGGTATCTACCTTCATGAAAAGTAACTAGAAATAAGTATTTGCTAGTTCCTCCATTTTATTTTAGTTAAAAAAAATTGCCATATCTTATAGAACTGCTAATCGGCTTTCTTCACTCAACCCTAATTTCCTTTTTCTTTTCTGAAAACGTTCTAAGCTGGATTTTCACAGTATCTACCGGTATCCACAGCTTCATTTTCTTGTACATGGTAAGGAAAGACTTTCAGGTAACACACCCCTTTTTGACTTACCTTGGCTCTGCCAGTACTCTGAAGAATGTGTACTAAGGCACAAGCCAACTCCTCTTTATTCCTCACACTAATTACCGGCTCAAGAACTGAACACAGCATGGTGTAGTTGCTGGTGATGAATTCTGCAAATTCTTTGTATTGCTCCATAGGCAGAATGGTGATAGTTTGGAAACGTGACTTAATCCGAATAGAAGGTCCTCCTGTCTTCCCTTTGTTGGGTGTGGGTGTACTCACTGGGTACCATTTTTCTACAAACTGGCGACCAGTCACACTGGCAGTGGGGATGTTGACTAGCCCTACATAATTATTCTTGTCCTTTTTTTTCTTTTTTTCCACATCCTTATAAATGTGAACTGTGATGCTATGGAGAGGTGGAAGGCTATAGAACTCAAAATGTTCACCCCAGAAAATATTGTCTGCTTTGGTCTTGCTGGTTGTACGAGCAAAGAGGGTATCATCAAGGCACAGTTCGCAGAAATATTTTTTTTTAGGGGCAAGGTCCTTGGCTTCAATGATCCATAAACGGAGGACATTTTCAGCTCGCCGACAATTGTCCTATAAAGACAGCAAATTTGAATTTGAGATCTGACATACCAGAGAGTATTTTCTTCTTAAAGTAATGCTGATTATTAACGTTCCTCTATTAAGAGCAGTCAACATAGTAAAAAGAATTGCTATTGTTCTGAACCACAGAACTCTAAAGAATAATCTTGTACTGGTTCAGTGGGTAGTTGCACTGGCTGCCAAGCCCGGTGACCTGAATTTGATCCCAGGACACACACTGTGGAAGGAAAAGAGTCAACTCCTGCAAACTGTCCTCTCACTCTCACACATACCCTGTACAGACACACATACACAGAAATAAATGTAATTAGAAATATTTTTAAAAATACTCTTACAAAGCTGGGCAGTGGTGGTACAAGCCCTTAGCCCAGGACTTGGGGAGCAGAGGGATGCAAATCTGAGTTGGAGGCCAGTCTGATCTACACAGTGAGTTCCAGGATAGCCAGGGCTACACAGAGAAACCCTGTCTTGGAAAAAAACAAAACAAAACATCTTACAGAACCACATATTCTGTTTTATTTGGGTTAAAAATATCATCATGTACCAGTAAGTTCCCTGCAGCCATCTACATGAGGCTGGACTCATTTCTAAACTAAAAAAGGTAAGTTGCTAACACACTTGCTTTCTAGTACGACGTTATCATATATGAACTTCTGACTGGGCATGTCACTTAGCTTTTTGAGTCTCTATTCCCATGGCAAAATGACAATAATATTGTCTTCAGTAAGATAATTTTCAGTGTAAAATGTCCTAACATGTACACAGGATTTTCAAACTGTCAAACCCTAAGCCAGATGTGGTAGCAATTACTTATAATCCCAGCCCAGGGATTTGTGAGGCTGGGACAAAAAGCTTGCAAGTTCAAGGCCAGCCCTGGTTACATAGTGAGATACTGTCTCAACAACAACAAATTATTAAGATTTATAAAATTAATATATTACTACATTTGTCTTCTATCAACTTGATGCTTACAAGTAATAAATTTTTTTAAAAAAAACTTCTGTTGAATTTGTTCTGACAATTTCCCACATGTCTAACATGCATTCTGATTACCATAACCCACCTTCTTTCATCTCCTTCCCACCCTCATTCCTCTCCTTTCTACAAGTTCCTTTCTTACACATCATATCCCCTTCCCGCCTTTCTGAGACCCACTGAGTTTAATCAAGAACATCTGTGTAAACATGGGTTTAGAACCATCCACTAGAGCCTGATGGGCTCCTCTGCTGTGTGCATACCTGAGAACTCTAACTGCTCCTCTGAAATCTACAGGTAGCCAACAGTTCAGCAGGGAGGGGTAGGGCCTTGAATCTTTCCATTCCAGACTGACTGTTGACAGACCCAGTTTTGTGTGGGTCTGCTGACATAGCAGCTATGAGGTGATGAGTACACTGGCTGTGTATTTCTCAGCCCTTCTCCCTGTCTTCCTGCATTTACATCCTTTCTCTTCCCTCTTTTGAGATGATCCATGAGCCTTAGAGGGGTGGTGACATATTTTTTTGACACTCAGAGCCACCATTACCTTATTTGGCTGAACGGTCCTTCGAAGGTTTTCCATCCACTTATCTCTCTCTGAGGCAGAGTTACAGCTAAAGCATTTACTTCCACTTAAGTAGGTGACCTTCAACACAAAGATTAGAGATGTGATGTAAGACTAGGTGTGTGGTGGGGGAATTGATCTTCTAATTTCTAAAGTTTAAGAATTAGGGACATGTTATGAAACCCAAATCTTACTATGTGAAGCTAAAACAATGAATCATTTCAATTTTGTCATATCTTTACTCAAATTTTAATCTCTAAGTAGCATCCATAATTATTTCCAGCTATGAAAAAAAAAAAAACTCATTTACAATTTGGCCTATGGTTCAGAGAAACAAAAAAATTTAAAAAAGCTTAAGGCATATATAAAATTACCTATGAATGAATATGCTCATTTGAGCTAATAAAAATAACTAAAAAGGGAAATGTTTGTAAAATTATTTGGTTTTGTAAGACTGCTTCATCACAATGCTACAGAAGGCTACTAAATGAAACTGAAAGGCATCAGTGCAGTTGAATCCCTCTCTGGGATCTATTTCTCCTCCAGGAGGCAACCAATCTATTGATTTCCAGTCATTTATAACATTTAACATAGTATATTATGTCCATTGGAGAAGCCACTGAACTGAGCTTCACAAATAAGGCAGAGTTCAAGTGATTTTTCAAGGAATAATAATAATAATAATGATAAACACATACAAATGACCTGCTCTGAGCTGCAGTCTGTTTACTTAGACTCTCAGGTCATAATACAATGAATCTGATCAGATGGTATGCTATGTCTGAAATGGCAGCTCCTAGCTTCAGACAGTTAGTGAGGACCTGAAATGTGGCTGAGGAGTACAGTTATTGATCTAGGAACATGCAGGAGATGGTATACCCAACAAGGTATGGCCCTAGGTCAAGAACTGCTCATGTTGTAGTTATAAAACTGTAATTTTTGGTGGGTTTTCTCCAAATTCTTTTAAAATTAGGGATGAAATAACAGTGTATGACATTTTTATATTTAATATTAAGAAATAACACATCAGTTTGAGAAGCTATTGTTAATCTTGTATGTAACCTACACTGAGAATATACTAAGTACCCAAGTTTTTGAAAGCAGACAAAGGCAAAGGCATGAGATAATCATTAATAACTTCAATTACAAATATAATTTTTTCTATTAACAGATTGTCAACTCTTCCCTTATAAGTAAAATTTTCAGGAACTTAAACCCAGTCAAGATAATCAAATCAGAAACACAACAGTGAAATAGCCAAATTACTGACTATTCTCCCTTCTTTTTGCAATTCTTTCCCCTTTTTACCTCAAAGCAGAAGTCCTGTCCAAGGATGCTACTATGGAGTGGTTTCACTGACACTGGCTCTCCTCTACCAAGATCCAGACATTCCACAGCACTGCAGGGGCTCAGCAGGGACTCATGTGAACGAGACTCTTTCAGTTTAGGCAGACCACGAGACCTAAAAGTAGAAGATACTTAAGGCAATGTTACATGAAGATCTAAGGAAAGGAGACTAACAAAAATGTAAAAGTGTAAGAGGAAAAAATAAAAGGAGGATAACTAAATATCCTACAATTATAGTATTAACAGTCATATTCATGTGGTATACATAAACCATGCATATATGAACACACCTTTTCAACAAAGCATAAAAACAGAATAATTTTACAAGTCTCAAAGGACCTCTAAGTTCCTGTACAGATGTTATTTTTTATTCTCATTTCTATATTGGAATATGGAGAAATATATACTATTCAGAATTCTTTTACCACTTTTTATGCAAAAGTATTGTCAAAAGGCATTCTCTCTTATTTTGTTTGAGGCTACACACCATTTATCTCCTTGTATCACTGACAAAGGCTGAGTCCTCAGTTTGTTTCTGTGTGCTCTGGTAGATCCCACCCCTACCCCAGCACACACAGTGAGCGAGAGAAGGAAGGCATGCATGGGAAGCGAGAGCAACAGCAAGAAAGACAAACTCTTCAGCACAAGAATGCCTTTCAAACAGTCTCATTTCCATCTCAATATGGAATTCTCTTCTGGCAAACTTTGACTTCTATACATGCTTTACAGTATAATAAGAATAGAACGCCTTGAGGAAACTTCCCACCAGAGTTAAAGAAAAAAAAAAAAAAGTCAAATTCCCCAGAGAAGAGTTGACACTGTTAGGCAGGCATCTTGGCTGATTCTGTTTTCCTGGTCCTTTCAAAAGAATGGTGGGTATCCTAGCTTTTGTCTCTATAGGCAGGCGCTAGTACTTCACTGCCTTCCTATCACAAAAGTTAATGGAGTCAAACACGACAGAAAACAATTTTCCTAAATTCAAAAATGGATGGCCACACAGTTTTAGTCAATAATTATCACACTCACTGACTGAAACACCCCTATGCTTCAAGTAGGTCTTAATAATAAGTCTAAAAGAAATGTCTGTGTAAAGACATTTGTTTTGGTAAAATATTAAATAAGCGGCTTTATTCATTTACTAGGAACAAGGATAATACTGAAAGGAGCTGTAGCACTTACTGCCAGAAGAGTATTTAGCTAAATTACTAAGCAATAGGACACTGGAAACTAGCACTCAATTCACTATCTTCTGTCTCTATCCTACTTAGTCAAACTCCATAAATAAGAAACATCTTAAACAATAAGGATAATTTAGCCTGTTGTTTAACAAAAACAAAACAGTAATAATTACCATCTAAAGTTTAGGCTGAAAAAAAAGTGTTCCGATAGCACTTTTTTAAAGTAAAAAAGGCAATATAGTAGTTCCCATTAATAATGCAAAGTATGTACTAAATGGACAAAAGCCAGCAAATATAGTGTATATAAAAATCAACAAAGCAACAGTTGTATTTATTTACCTTTGTTCTGGACAAGAAAACATGTTTGAAGTTATGTGGTACAAATACGGCATAATTTTAAGTAATTAAATGCTGTTTTTTTTTTTTTAACTTTAGTCAACTTATCATAACAGCCTTTATCAATATGCTGAATCAGAAGCCAGATCAGAGAAACAGGACACCATCATCTTTGTTAAACAAACAGAAAATAACAATTCTAGCTATCTTTTCCAGTAGGAATTAATTGCTAGAGGAAAAAGCTTCTCTGACTCTGGGATGATCACAAAATATGTAAAACAGAAAGTGTTATGACAAAGTTTCTTTTTTTTTTTTTTAATAACCTCCAAAGAATTAAAATAGAAGTTAATTTTATTTAAAACAAAAATAAACGTCTACCTACATGAAGCAATTGTACAGCCACCTGGCAGAGCAACCCCAAACCATAGCGGAGCCACATGTCCGGGTGTAGCAAGTCACTTCCTGGACTACATCTCAGAAAACAACTCTCTGTGTAGAAGACAATAGCCAACTGAGGGTGAGTCTCCTGCTGCCTTCAGTTAGTGATGCCATCTTTGCATAAACGCCTCTCAGGTGTTATTCAAGTCTTCAGCAGAAGCAGGACGGAAACACAAACAACTGAACAAGTCCTAGATCTCCAAGCCCAGCAGTGCAGGTGATATCCCTATTCCTCCAGGCTGCATCTAGCCCCTCAGGTAATACAAACAAGGTTCCAGGGCTCTAGGCTGGGCCTGTTGCCATGGCGCTACACCTTTAAGGAGATTAGAGCTGGAAGGCAGCAGGGAGAAGCTGCAGCTGGCAAGACTCAGGGAGCATGCTCTGCAAATATGGTAAAGGTGACTGCTTTAAAAAGGGAGGAGGGAGCAGTGAGGGCCATTCCCATCAGTTCTCAGTCAAAGGCTGGTGATAAAGGCAGCTCTGGGGGTGGGGAATGATCGCTTATTAAACACTACGTAGGGACAGAACTAGGAAGCTTTAGCTTGTTTTATGTGATTGTCAACTACCCTCCCACTAGATGGCATTCCCTGTATCTCTCCTTGCAAGTACAATCTCTCACCTGTTGTTTCCTTTGCAGTGCCTACCCTAGTTAAACGTCTCTTAGCAAGATTTATCTGGTTTAAAGTTATTCTCTAACTTTACAGAAAGTTAAATAAAATAATTTTTTTTCAATATTCTTCAGTATAGTCCAACTTCCAATAGCTGCTATAAAAGCTCATTCTAATTGTCTAATTATTTGGATAACTTAAAATGCTACTTACTGAAGTTTCAATAATTAATACCTAGTTCAGAATCTCCAAAAGTTCAAAATGTGGATATACACACATGAATCGATAGCCAAAGTCTAGTGTGTTCGACATTACTACTAAATAAATGAGCAAGTTCTTCCTGTATTGAGAGGACAGTGTCTCTGAGAAGTAATTCCCACAGAAGCATGATTACAGTGAACAGAAGATCCAAACACCTGGGGATGGCTCAAGGGCAGAGTGGGGGAAGGAGGCATTACCTGTCCAAACATTTCAATACGACATTAGAAACCCCAGGTCACCTCTGACCATGTTACCTCTTGTACCTTCACATGATCTGTGTCCCACAGATCTTCTACCTAGAGTTTTAGAGTCTGGTACCACCAGTTTACTCTTCTAACAGAATAGAATGGGTATTTACTGGTAGGATAACGAATTTAAAGCAACTTTTCCAAGGCGAGCCTGACAAGGGCCTTCATCAAGATAATATGCATTCCTTGAGTACAGCTCCAGCTCTTCTCCTGACTGACCACCATTACTGCAAACACTACATAGGAATAATGCAATGTGATGACTGTTCCTTAATTTACCTGGGAAACTGCTTCTTAGAGGTCAATTTTACATTAATTAAGGAACACCACACACTACATTTCTATTTTAAGGTTAGCAGAGTCTTGAGCTTTTGGTCAACTTACGGACTTCCGTGTTAAAACTCTAATTGCTCATGAAGACTACCTGCTGCTTCTGACTGAGTTAGGATATAAACTACAAGAGAGGCTTCCTGTTACCACAGTAAATGCCTGTCAGATTGCTTCAAGCTTGTCACTACTTAAATCAGTCTTCAAAGAGAAAAGTGAATGGCTGGAGGGGGGGGGGGATGGGGCGCTATCACACACAAACCAGTGGATGCACTGGTGCAAAAGAAAAGAGTAAAAGAACTCTGATGAGTGCAATTTGAAATAAACACAGCTGGATTTTCTCAGCTTACCCATCTGATTTTGTAAAAAGTCACATTTTCCCCACAGCTCCAATAATGCTTGGGTTGGTAGCTCAATCTGCCACATGTTTACAGATTCAGTTCCAAATTTAGGAACTGGGAAACTTTTAATTAAAAATGCTATTGCCACACAAAATTCTGGACTCAGTGCAAGTGAATTTCTGCTTGGTTGGCAGTTATGATTCTGAACTGTGTCACTGAGTTCTTGAAGAGCCCTGAGCCAGTAGCTGGGCACTGCAGGACACTTGTGTTTAACCAGCATGCATTTTAAGACAGTCATTCTGAAACGTCCCAAGTAGCAATTAACAAACTTGGGTGTCTCAATCCTCTCAAACACATTGAGATCTCACAAGAAAAGAATTTTTCCCTCTGTTCTCTGGATTTTGCAATCTGCTTTATAATCAGATATTTGTGAGTATTTCCAAGTGATCTCTCTGTTGTAAAACATGCAACTCTTCTGTATTGTAATTTTAGTTTTCCCTCGCAGGTAAGAATCACTCACTAGCGTTCTATTTGTACTCAAAACCCATTCTCATGTCTGAGAATCATGATAACTGCAGCGGCCTGGCCTACTTGCTATAGGTGAAACCACTTCCTATTGCTGATGCTACGGATTTTATGTTAGCCTCACAGATAGTTACTTAGGGAAATACAGGACACAACGCAGATTTTCCTTCTCCCTGCTCTCAGTCTCCTGATAGGATAGACGAATGTGCCCAAATGCGAGGGATAAAGCAGGATATCTGTAGTCTGAGTCATCACTTGAAATAAAAGCCTCATGGTTTTCACTATCCCACAAAAAAGTGAAACATATAGCTACTTCAACATGTATCCATGTACACATTCAATGAAGGGGCATAGAAAGAGACTATGAAAATCAATGTACGATTTGGGAAGTAGAAAATTCCCCTGACTCTAATAAAGACATTTTATAATACTCTTTTCTTACTCCTTAAATCGCAAATTATTAAAACCTAAGAGTATGTGTTGTTCGAATCTTAGATGGTATTTTAATAAAAAACCCAGAGCCAGATATCAGGGTGAAAGCTGAAAGATCAGAGAAGCAGAACAACCAGGCACTAGTTCTCACCTCTGTGAAATCCTCAGTCTGAAGAGAGTGAGTGCCTGTTCCCTCACTCCTTATATACCTTTCTCTGCCCTGCCATATTACTTCCTGGGATTAAAGGCATGTGCGCTTCCCAAGCAAAGGCATGCGATCTCAATGCTGGGATTAAGGGTGTGTGCTACCACTGCCTGACTTCTATGTCTAATCTAGCGGCTGGCTCTGTCCTTTGATCCTCAGGCAAGTTTATTAGGGTACACAATATACCACCACATTTCCCCTTTCTTGCCAAAAATA